ATAAAGTTTACTGATAATCCTTATCAATGTTTTCGTGTCAAACAAGTGCTTAACTCTATTTATTTGACATAAATTGCCTATACCAGAAGACACAGTTTGGGTGATATGTTCATCATAACTGAGAGTAATGTGCACCTGTAAGCCTCTTACAAACTCGAATCAGCCAATCAGCCAGCGAGAATTTAAAAAAGTGAAAAAAAAAACAGTTCGAGTTGTAGTTCGTATTTAACTAAAGTTTTAAAAGACGCTGTCTTGACTTGAAGTCATTTTCAGACAACATTAGACTTCGTGTCTAAAAGAGTATACCCTGGTTCCAGAGGTTTTCTCTTCTTTTATAAATGTTTTTGTTTAGTATTTCTCGTATTTTTTTTCTTTCCTTTTTTTCTTGCGTTGTTAAATTTAAAAAGAGCAAAGACAAAAATACGATGAATACTAAAAATCATCTATAAAAGAAGAGAAAACCTCTGGAACCAGGGTAAAAAGAGTAACGCAGTAGAGTTAAAGATAGACAGCAGTCAAATCCACCTGGGAACTTATTTGGTCCCAATGCTGAATTATTGACAGCTGTCAAATTTTTGCTTGGGAATTTCGTTAATTCATTGATCAAGACTGGACGATCATGGATCGCTTCCTTGGCCTTCCTGTAGCTGTGACAATGGTCAGCTGCCGCCATTAAGTTATACGTATTTCATTTTCAGGATAGTCACGATTTGATTGAAAAAGTTCAAGACAGAATTCAATAAGTTACATCTTTATTACATCTAAATTTTTTACCGATCTGAACTAAGTACGACTCGCGCGAGCTTTTGCTTTTTTGTCGTATGATTTACATTTCATGGCTTCTAAACAAACCAGCTGGTCATAGTGAAGCCGTAGATATCGCGATCAGGCCACGAGGCCGACTGACGTACAAAACAATACATTTAAAAGTGAAACTAGGTCGCAGTGAAGCGATCACGCCACGAGGCACGAAACAATACATGTCAAAAATGAAAATAAATCGCTGATTGGTTTCTTTTGACATCTCCATGGAAACTGAGACTGCAGGTTATCTGCAACGCAGGCGCTACCAATTTGAAGCGTAATATTCACCACCACCAAAAGCCAGTTGCATTTTTAGACGTGGACTTCCACAGGAAGCCCACGTAAAAAGCAAACCAATCCATCATTAGCAGCAATAAGCAAACTGGAAATAAAAACAATCACTCAAACAAAACGGAAGTAAAGCAAAAACGATTTCTTTAACTTTCCTCAGCACGTGACGTAGTCGCAAAGCTAGTTGAAGATGACGTCACTGACCCTGCTGACTTTCAATGGATCAGCCAATTACGATACTACTGGGAAGACAAGTCAGTCATGGTCAAGATGATTACAACCACTGTCAAGTATGCATACGAGTATCTTGGCAATACTGGACGACTTGTCATTACACCACTCACTGATCGGTGTTACAGGTAGGGCGTGGCTACACGTGCTTTTACCATAAATGCTTTGCGTTCAAGATTTCAATTAAT